TTCGCTCGTGCATGTTCATACTATACGGACTTCATAAATTGCTTAAAACTTTTACTAAATTCGTTCATAGATACAAAGATTTGATTAGTAAATTTGGCTGTACCTGTAGAAAACTGATTAAAAACGGTATTTCACATCCTAAATTTTACGGTACGTAATATTGTACTTAAATCGCGGAAATCACAATGACGTTGCGCACGATGTTGGTACCAATTCCATTTTGCTATAGATTAGCATAAAAATAAATACGTAGACTGGTCAGTTCGATAAAAATATAGTGATTTCTGATTGAATTCATTCCATTAGACTTGAAATTAAAGAAAAAAAGGAACCGAAATTTAAAATACCAGGAATTATAACACTTAATTATCCCATTTTTACGCAAAAACGTAATGTCCAACGTTTCATTTTGTGTGCAAAAGATCAAAGTTCCGTTTCTCTCCTACGGTATTTTTTCTCTGATCATCGTAAAACTTCACAATAATATTGCTATAAAAATTGTTATAATTATTCGCGTGTTAAAGCAAAATCAATATCACTGAAACCGTAATCCGGAAAATGTTATTTTTGTAAACGGTCTGAAAAATGTCCAACCGTATGCAAAGTAAGTATATTTCGGGTTTGCGCATTTATACCGTGAAATGGAAAAAGCTGAGAGAAAAAATACTTATTATATTTTGAAAGTTTTTTTACTTTTCTCATGGTTCATGATATTTTTTTGCCGGAAACCATGCGTATAGTTTCTATTGCAATGACTTCAAAAAGTATAGCCATCTTGTCCCAACGAAAAAAACGCTGTATTTTCTTTAAAATTGAGGTTTTAACCAGCTGTCTATCAAATAAGCATAGTTAGATCATAAAAAATAAAACTTGGCGGTAAAGGTTTTTCTGTTTTTCTTCTTAAACAATATAGTGTTTAATATTTTTTCGTTAGGCAACAAGGTTTTTAGATCGTTTCAAAAAGTATAGCCGTTTTGTCCCAACGTTCGCAAAACGTAATTGATGTCATGCTCTGATTTTTAATTTTATATCGTAATTATTTGTTTCCAGTTTAATTTGAATGAAAATAAAAATACATGTATAAATTACAATACAACCAATGTATGAGAAAGGAATAGTTTAAGTTTAAATTCAAATGTTGACCAAATGAGATCGATATAAAAAAAATATCGGGATCTTAGGGTTTTTTTTTTATAGCATATTTGTTTTATATAAGGAACATTGTCTATCTGCAAGTTTTAAATCGTCAAAAGTAACATGTATATTTTTTTTGTTAATAAAATAAAATAGAGAAAACCCATTGCTGGCAATTATAACAAACAAAGGATATGCCACAAATATACGGGAATGAGAAAATTTAAAACATGAGTCCCGAATGTTTAACTTCCTAAATATTTTGCGACAAAGAAAGCATCGGGAAATGATAAAATATAGAAAGGAAACGGAAACGGGAAGTAATGCAACAAAAGGAATAAATATGCAAAAAATAGGAGAATATGAATTCAAAATCTAATTTATATTAAAAATAAATCTGTGTAAATTTGGACATTATTGTATCGGATTCATTAATGCGAACTGCTGCCGAAAGGAAAATTATCAATTATGGCCTGGAAAGACTGACAACTCCTGTAAATGAAATTCATTAAAAAAATATCTATACGACCACTTTGAGTTTTATTTGTAAATTTATGCATTTTATCAGACAAACCGAAATCGGTTACCAAATTCACAACAGTAAATTGACATCATCAATAATATGCTTGAACGCCTGAAACTTTCTTTGAAATCGTCGAAATCGCCTTATTTTGAGGAACGTCGTGAAACGCTAAGTAGTACCAACATCGTGCGCAACGTCAATGTGATCCGTGTAAACTCATCGAACCTTTAAACAAACTTATTAGTGAAGGTTATCTTACCAATATTGTAATTAGATCTTTGAATATAGTTTACATTGGCACAAATGTCGATTTTGTCATCAGCAGATTAAAACATAACTAAATTAGTATTCTTTTCAAACGGTTTTTTTGGGATGCAAAATACACACCCACGTTCATTTTCTATATAGAGATTACTCTATCTGTATATTATATTATACATAATTATTAACAGGTTAACTCCTAACTAACCTACTGCCTGTCGATACTTTTATTTTGGCATTGCACAAATCATGTCTTCTTTGACTGTCCATGACGTTAAAACACTAAATCCCTGGGATGTGTTTTAGTTGATTTTAGTCTCTGATGCATGATTTTTTATTATTAATTGTTTTTGGCTTTTAACTAGCTTTCAGTAACTGCGAGTACTCTCAAATCGGTCTTTCGTGTTAATTTGACCTGTTCAAATTTATCCGTTCAGTGTATGTTCACTTGTTTTTGTTAATATGTCTTTTGATCGAGTTAAACCATTTCAATTGATATTTAATAGTGTGTCTTTCTATGTTGTGATTTTACACTATTGTTTCAGGTCCGGTGAAGGTTGGCGCCTATTAAAACGTTTAAACCCGCTGCATTTGTTTGCACCTGTCCTAAGTAAGGAGCATGAGGTTCAGTGGTTGTCGTTTGTTGATGTGGTTCACAAGTGTTTCTCGTTTCTCATTTTTTATATAGATTAGACCGTTGGTTTTCATGTTTGGATGGTTTTACACTAGTAATTTTTGGGGCCCTTTATAACATGGTGTTCGGTGTGAGCCAAGGCTCCGTGTTGAAGGCCGTACTTTGACCTATAATGGTTTACTTTTACAAACTGTGACTTGGATGGAGAGTTGTCTCATTGTCACTCATACCACATCTTCTTATATCTATTCATAAGCAGGCATATGCTCCTTACACAAAGACCGCTCCAACAGAAGAATCACGAATTGGTTGATCTATACAATGTGTCTATTTCTCAAATCAACTGAATAGCGTCTTGTTTTGCGTTTTTAAATACAAGAAAAGTAGTCTTATCTGTAATTTAACTTAGTACTAGTATTACCGATTGTGACATTTTGACTGAGTGTTGACTCGTATTGCGGGGGTTGTATGCATACCAGAAGACGTTTACCTTGTTGACGCACCGGTCTCGTTTCTTTTGAAGTTCAAGCGATTCCTTCAGTTTTAATGTGTTACTTTGATATGTCTCCCTAAGCGTTTTATGAGATTTGAACATTTGTAACCTGCTATTGGCTATATCATGTATATATTCATTCAACAACTGTCAACAATTACATTGATAGACTGAAAACAATATAATCAAAATAAGGATTTCCGAAGGCACAAGAATGCTAAAAAAACAACAACACAATTAATCTGGAAATTAACAATCAGACAGGCAATAAACATATATACGCGGGGAAACATTAGATATCATAGATAGGAAATCAAACCAGAGGTATAGCTTCTACCTACAGGAAAGCACAGAACCATACCTGGTAACAAGTACATAGTACAACGATGGAGGTAAAAAAGGCGAAGAAAATGAAAGCTCGGCTCGTTATGTACAATCTGATAGAGCAAAATATACATATGGTCGTACAGAGGATATATGTTGACTATATGAAACAATCAACAACCATACCAACTATTTCTTACAAAAGTGTCCAGCCCTCAATACAGAGCGAGATAGACATATAGCTGATCTAAAATCTTATCTGAAAACAATGCATCTTCTGGTACATTTGGTAAAATAAAAGAACAATGACTGCGTGTTCAATTAATTTTAGATTAGCATAACTCAAAGAGATAGTTTACTTGAAGAAAACCACATTATAAGGACCTTGAAACAGTTACGAGAGTGTTATGGAACAGTCTACACGTAAAACGTACCAATGTACTCACTAAAGATTTAGGTTAAGATGATAAATTGAGATATTATAAAGTTATAACTTCAATTACAATGCTAAATTGAAGGAATATGAACAAAATTCTAAGACATTGGATACTGTGCATGACTTTTATGGATGATGGTGCTAGTTGCAGTAAGTTAAAATTTATTCCCACCGTAATATAGGTAAGGTTTTTGTAATAATTTATGAACATATTGATGTTTATGCTCCTGAGACAGAAGGAACGTACCAGTAAACAGTAACTAGATAGGGTAGTCACTGATAGCCTAGGAGCGACATCTTTAACATCTTAATTGCATCCCTTCCATCAGTAATGTGTATCTGTGTTTTTATTGTAAAATACAAACCTTATACAGCATTGAATTCAAAATCGTTAGCCAGCGTGTTTTAATTTGGTAAACCACATTATGCATACAATTGCCACGTCTTATTGTTTAGTCCTGTTCTATTTTCTCTTTTTATATCCTTCACCCTTTGATTTTATTACATTTCAAATAATTCCAAAGCCTAAAGCCATTCGGACAAACCTTGGATTAAAAATAGGCTTAGATGTAAAATTCATTACACAATATTTATTTAACTGTATCGGAAACCGTTTTATCGGGTTGTGAATCAATAATCAAAATTTCCCCTTTCGGTATTCACATAATCCAGAATTTTTTATTTTCTTAACCTTGAATTCCTCTTACTAAATCCAGGACCAGAAGTGATCGTTTTTCTTTTTGAACCTCAATATTATGAAAATAAGGAGATATAGTATGACTACCATTTAGACAACTCTCCAGCACAGACCAAATAACGTTTAAGTTAGAATGAAAGCAAAATCTATGATATATATGTACGACGTTTTTTTCTGATCGTTAATTTTTCTGTTTTATGCTGTTGTTTTGTAGGCTTCTTCATATGGAGTTACTATTTCTCTTAATATTCGTGTGTTTGCAGCCACGTCTCAAATTTCAAAGAATATATTATTTTCGGTTTTTACAAGAAGTTTATAGATTTTACAAACTGGCTAAATATTTATTTTACATTTTTATTTGAGCATTTGGTCAAAAAAAAAGAGAGGGGAGATGAAGAGAAATGAATGCAATACTTAACAACAACGTGGTTGCACGATGAAACTCAGAAAAAACTTTACAGCCTCCACATCGCCGTTGCTTTAGGTGTTATAAAATAATTCGTTGATACAATTTTATTTAATTATATCAAATTTAAACATAACAAACATGATAATAAATAAATAGATATACAACAAAAGAATGATTTTCTGTACAAAATGGACCATTTGTAAGGAGGACATTATACGACTGATGTGACTGCTTTTTGTAACAATACGTGTATGTATTCACAAAGAGCCAGGTATAGCACTCTACACATTGTGAGATTCTTGACAAATAATACTATTATAAATCACATGATTTTTTATACGAGTATTGACCCTTTACATTCTTTCAAACTGGCCATGTGTTATATACAGCAATCATTATAACAAATATATTAGCACTAGTTTGTGTCCTTTAGGGTTTTCCATGTTTTTCTACACGGCTGTGACCATAGTCTGTTGGTTGACTTCATTAGTCCGGTTTTGTATAGTTTTGGTTTTGAGTTTATGAGCTATTTTCTTATTGACGTCGATAAGAGCATGTTTCATAGCTTCTTCTGCTTTCTTGTCACCTACAATTAAAATGTACAATCAGCCTTGCAGTTGTTTAGGAAAGTTAACAAAGTCTAAAATAAAACATTGAAAATTACAGATCAGCTAAACATTGTAAACATTCATCGTAAAATCCTATTAAAACAAGAGCAAATATATCTTAGCTGAGTCAACAAGTAAAAACAGTATTGTGAAAGAGAAAGGATTTGCTAATAAATAAAATATAAAATCAGACTCCTCCTTGAAAAACATACCAGACAATTTTTAATCTTAATTTTTGTAGTTTTTGTAAACAACTTTTTCAAATGTATTTCAGGAATATTGCTATGTATCATATAGTCCAAAAATTGTAAGTATTATCGATAATTGATATGGTAATCGATAAAAAATATTAAGCTGTTTAGGTCTACGTATTTCACTGGCATCTGGTGATCAATAGACTATTTTCATATTACCGACTTTTGACTTTGAATATATTTTTTTCGACAGGTTACCTACATTGTGGTAGGACACTCTGATACTCAGTCAGGTAAGAGCAGCTCAAAGAAGTAAAATCAAGCTTACAATCGGTGCAATGTGTGGAGAAAATATATGTTCAGGGATAGTTTGTAAAACAACAATCCCCGTAACCTTCGATTACTTTTATACTTTTCGAAACCTTAGAAACATGGCAATAAAATGTCAGTATCAAGACAACTGTAGAGGACAAACCATCCGTCTGGATATGTACATCTAAAACGTTTTTATGCTAATTATCTATTATGAAAAAACATATTTCAAGTCCATCTTTAATATATCGGAATGAAAAATAAACAAGATAGAAAATAAAACAAAGAGTAAACTATAATTTCTGTAGAACAACTGGGAAAACCCTAAAAACTTGAAGTATCCCTACCTAACGCTTCAGCATGTGTCAAGGCTTCTTCAAACGATTTGTGAGCATCTTTGTATTTCTTCATATTGACTGAAATAAAAAGAAATATAGCTTTCAGATAGTTTTACAAAACGTATATGACGTTGTTAATATGACAAGTTTGTAGTAAGAAATTCACATCGGTAATTAGTCATAAACCACCGATATATAATTCTATGAATTCTAACAATTTCAACATCATAGCAATATTTGTTTTATTCAGCACTTCGATGTGTTGCTCAATTAATAGTTTCTATGCATTATTATTGGGTTATGTTGCTATGGTGTTGTCTGTACTTTTTCCACTATTACACCATCAAGATGCTTGAAACAATTGAATACTGGCTTTAAAACGGATTTAAAATAGTCGTTAGAAAAGGTGCCGTGTTGCAAGGCTTGGCTGTTGCTTACATCTTAAAGATAAACTTAACAGGATTATGACGTCGGAAGAAAACAATTTTTTTATCAATTTTCAGGGGTTCGTTTGAGGGATGTATATTACAATTGCAATAATACATTATAATGACTATTTTCTGATGGACCAATGGTTATTTAAAGGTTGATTATTAAGAATACTTTGGATTTTTTTTAACATCAGGGTAAAAAGATCATGATCGCATTCTATTATAAATGCACAAATTCTGCAGTGCGCACAATATGCACAACACGTGTATTGATAATTAACTTAACATCATTTTATTTCTAAACATATTATTTGACAGAGTTAAAGCAAGAACCACTTTGTATTTAATTTTTTGTTGTATAAAGAATGACGTAATATTAACAAGGTGGCATTTCAATTAAAAGATAATTGAGATAGTTTTAACATTTGTATCAGCAAACCAAAATAAGAACTCTTATTGTAATATGATCGTTCTCTTACCTTCAGCTAAACCGATTAGAACACATGCTTGTAGCTGTAGATTTTTATCTCCACATTCCTCCGCGCACTGTAAAGATTTCCTGGCTGCATCTTTGGCATATTGAAAGTTAGAGAGCACTAGGAAACAATTACCAATCTCGTGGAACAACGAGGATGAATCTTTAGCAGACTTACAAAGAGGAGCTTTCATTGTCAGTCTATGAAAGAATAAATACACAATAATATGACTAATTTTATAAGAGGCTGAAGGAATGAAATATCGAAAGATATTTATTGTCCGAATTTACCTTTCACAGAAACGCATATATATATATATACCCAATTTTTGTTGTGTTTACATCTATATACCGGTATTATCACTTTGTTAATCAAATGAAACTATATTGTTTATTGTTTTTTTTAGAAATGAAACTTATATGAGGAAATGTAGTTTTGTATAATATAGCGTCTGGCTACTCATTTTAGCCTTTTTCAAATTGTTGTTATGCATGCATCAACAAATTGCTTTAAAATAATACTACAAATATTTATTAAGTAACTGTTCTGGGTAAAAATTGAAACAGTTTATCGCTGTGAATACAAATATCCTATGTCCAGGTAAAAATAGATTTGTTTTGGCGTGTGCATGGTCCGAAAGTAAAGACGTATGTAATTCTCGTCGAAATGATCAGTATTTCATGTTCAACATGATTGTCTCTGCTTGGATGGGTTTAAAAACCAAATACGTATATGTCAGCAGTTGGCGAAATTTAAACTGGTATAATTTTAAACTGTTAGAACCTTTGCTAAAAAGTAAAATAACAAAAATACCGAACTCCAAGTAAAATTCAAAACGGAAAGTCCCTTATCAAATGACAAAATCAAAAGCTCAAACATATCAAACTAATGTAAAACAACTGTCATATTCCTAACTTGGTACATGCATTTCCTTATGTAGAAAATGGTGGTTTAAACCTGCTAACGTAGAATGCCTTAAGAAGATGCACCCGAGTTCTGGTTAAGGTTATGAATTATATTTTGTAAACGTAATCCATTGACGAAGCCCGATCTTCAAAGGCACAAGTAATGTTTTAAAGTAGGGTGTCAAACCGTAAACAATTATTGTTATTTTGGAAAAGTGAATATAATGCTAGAAATATAACATCGAAAGACAAATTTAATAAAGGAAACATATCCCACAAATAATCCAACAGCGTTCGTTAGTTCTGGTAAATTAAAATAGTTCCGATGCATAATAAAAAAACAGACATATTATTCAATTTTTACAGCACTTCTACTTCCGAAAAATCTTTCCAGATCGATAGTTAAGAATTCATAAAACCGAACGCATTAATATATATTTAAGGAAAACAGTAATAAATTTAAAACAACACAAAAAAAGTTGATATTTTATGTAAAGCTTTTAAATAAATGATCTATTTAGTTGAAATTTATTTTAGTTACGTAAAGAAATATTCAATTTTTACAGCACTTCTACTTTCTAAAAATCTTTCCAGATCGATAGTTAAGAATTCATAAAACCGAACGCATCAATAAATATTTAAGGAAAACAGTAACAAATTTAAAACAAGACAAAAAAAGTTGATATTTTATGTAAAGCTTTTAAATGAATGATCTATTTAGTTGAAATTTATTTTAGTTACGTAAAGAAATTTCTAATAGACTACTTACGTTTCTAAAGCTTTTTGGTGTTTCCCTTTTAACATATACACTCTACCTATGTTTCCCAAAGCTCTGTGTCTACAGGATCTGATATCACTACAAAAAAGCATACATAATAATTCATGAAATATGAAGAAAGCCTATCGAAACTGATAAGAATACACAGACACAAGAGGAATTATTTTAACTTCTAAGCGAGTAAGACTAAACGCCTACAGGGTATACTATTCATCACCCTTTGAGAAAACTTTCCATTATTTCGAGGATATACTTTGGATTCATTCACGTTCGTGGGTACCAATTTTCATGGACTGAGAACAAATGTTGATTGTGGATATTTGATTTCGTGGTTTTGCCAAAGTCTACATACAAGCCTACATGACATTTGAAATTCGTTGAAGACGTAAATTCCTGGATCACATTTACCTACGAAATCCCCAAAAACCGGTATCCAACGAATAACAATGAATCGAGAGTAATTTAAACTGTTCCACTTAAAAACAGATATGTACGAATTGTTTATGATTTCCTACTTTTACAGTCAATGATTCAGAAATTCAGAAAAAGTGTTGCATTATCAGAAGAAGTATCTTGAGACGTGCTGATTGGTCTAGGCATCTTTTGTTGCCGAGAATGCGCAACACAATAACGCAGACGAAGTTGAATTAATTAATTATTAAAGTCTTTTTTGTGAAACATGCTTCACGTTTATGACTAAATACGTCACTTTTTGTGGCGTTAATACATTCGTGTGACGCACAGTTTATAATTCTATTGTGGTGTCAGGTGTACTGCCGTAAATTCATGGGATGTGTCCGTTGTTATTCTGTGGTTTACATGTTGTAATATACCATTATATTATTTATGTATGTATTTCTCTGTCCTGAGTGTTCTTTCGTTTATTTGTACTGTATTCCAGTGTTTCTGTTGTTCCGTTGTTTTCCTTTTATAGTTGATGTGTTTCCCTCGGTTTTGGTTTGTGATCCGGATTTGTTTTCGCTTAATCGATTTATGACTATTGAACAGCGATATATTACTGTTGCCTTTATTAAGGACTACACCAAGTTATTACGTCTTTTTTTGTGAAACACACTGCACTTTTATACCTACACAAATCAGGTTATGGTGATTGATTTGAAGCTTTTTACTTGACAAAAATGGTAATTATAAAATAAAATGAAAACATCACTTTTAATAAATTCCATGCGTCCGAAGTGATTTTCTGAGAACCAAAACAGTTGAAGAGCTATATGACCAAACAGGACCTAAAAATACCAAATTCATCTAAGGTAAACTTTGCCTGGGGAAGTTGAAACCATATTTTCTTGATAAATTTTAAATTTGTAAACGGACAATTTTAGAAAGGTATGTTATAAATCATGTCAGTACCGAAGCACTGAGCTGATGATACCCTCGGAGACTGATAGTCAGCCAGCTGCGGTATCGACAATTCCATATTTGTCTGTATAATATGTACTTTTGTGCTGACATGATAAACCATTGCTATTTCCAATTTCTGTAAATTTACTGTTTATAAAGTGCTGAGATATTCAAATTGTAAGGTTAGTCTACCCGCAGGTATAGATTGCATTAGCCGCATGCAACATAACTTTTCGGAATATTCGGCTGTTATTGCTGTTCAATTTCGTTATATTTGATTTTGATTTTCGACTGTTTTGATTCGAGCGCTACTGATGAGTTTTATGTAGACGACACGCGCGTCTGTCGTATCATATTATGAGCCTGTTATCTTTGATGAGTTTTTTACTGAATGTTTATTTTACTAGTATGGTGACTTTGAGAAAGACAATATAAATATTATGATTCGTAAAACTAACAATGGAAGAGAAACATATTATAAAATGAGACCTTCTCCAATACAAAAATTACCATGATTGTTTAAGACAAAATTTGACATAGAATTGTAAAAAATTTAAAAAGGGAAAATAAATTAATGTATGATAGTGAAATGCTTACAAATCTTCCCCAATAGACAAATCTTTTTGGTGATGTTTTAAAGCCTCATCAAACTGACGACGTTGTACAGCACAGTTACCACGGTAACTATGTAAAATGGCGGTCAGCTCGTGTATCTCAGGAACTTCCTCCTCCGAATATTTCTCTAGCAATCGTATGCAATTGTCACAACTACTGCTAGTTTCTTGTATCCATCCCAATTTATATCCTAAGATAGTTATCAGTATAATTAATAAATTAATCAAATTTTCATTTATTTTAGTATAAATCGTATCATTGTAAATTTGTCATTGCATTATAAATATACAACTTGACACATCCTTTTAAAAGAATTACAAAGTTATGATTCTGAAACTCTAAATGATTACATTTAAATACTTATGCATGTAGCAATGACAAGGCACTACTATGAAATGGACAAGTAGAGCAAAAAGATCATTTCTGAAAGATCTTTGCATTTTGTTTAGGTACAGTATTGGTTTGCTGTCATTTTGACGATTACATCACAGTTGTTTGTTATCCATCGATAACAAATATTTACCATGTCATTGACTTATGAGTTTGAATGTCTTTTTGGTATCTTTCGCCTATCTTTCATTGTTCTAAAAAATAATCTTTAAACCAAATATCCAAACTATACCTAATTTCTTTTTATTTCTAAAATTGAATTCGAAAATCTGATACAATATACTAGAATAATACAGAAAACTGACAAACCTTCGTTAATGTGTTCCAATTCTTTCTTTATATAATCAGTAATTGATTGACCTGCGCTTTCAGGTGTGGCATCCCCAAAACCAGATGGACTATCAGCAAATAATTCATTATCTTCTGGTATTCTCGACATCTTTCTGATTTCCCTCTCACTTTGTATTGATTTGAAATTAAAGTTCAATTTACTTGGATCTAATTGAATGTTGACTTGAGAGTTCCTTCGCCTGTAAGTTGGTACGGGCTTTTTATCAACAAAGATATATGACGAGTTACTTGTTATCTTTGAATTTGTAGTGTTCACTGTGAGGACAGAGTCTAATGACATCGTACTTCCTGACATTTTTGATTTGGACTTCCTAGGCGGTGGTGGAGGTGGAAGTGGTCCTAAACGATCCCAGTAAGTTACTCTATCAAACAGGAAGTGCAGAGCATTGTTGGCAATAGCTTCTAAAGGTGTTCCCCATAATGGAGCTAAATAAAAAAGAAGAAAAAACTGTTTATACATTTGATAGAGCGTTGACAGGGAAACAAAAACAGAAAGTCTCTTGTTGATACACGAATGATAAATAATTGTTTGAATCAGAGATAAGTCATAGTGAAGTACATGTTAGCAACATTTCGTTTACTTACTTTTCAATACACTTTTAAATAAACTAGTTGTATAACCCGGTTTTATTGGTGCGGTTCGTGTGCTTCGTCTTTAATTATCTGTTTAGTGTTTTATAGAATTTTGTTTATCTTTTCGTCGTTTTTCGTTTATTGCTATGATTTTGTCGGTCTCTCTTGACTTATGAGTTTTATTCTCACATTGGTATCTTCCGACTTTTTTTTATTGGATTCTGGACAATTATTGGATTCAGGACTTTTATTGGATTCAGGACAATTATCACCCCCTGCGAAAAACCATGACAAAAGATAGTGAATGAGACAAAAAAACTGTACACTTAATATATTCATAAATAAATAGTAAATAATTTCACAATAAAATTTGTGCTAATTCATTCATTAAAATACAATTCTATTCTGATATCTAATTCAAATAAAAAATGATACAAATCTAAACTGTTTAGTTTAAGCTCCGTTTACTTATACCCTGCATCTCGACAAGTGCTTTGATAAAAACAATAAAAAATAAGGGACAAAAACTATATTTGATGTAAATATTTGATAATTATCCTTTAATCACTTTTTTACCTAAAAAACACAAAATATTTGGGGAACATGTTAAATAGAAGTTTTGCGGGAAAAGGGCCAAAACAGACATGCAAATTGTTTTCTTGAACAAAAACAGTGACGTATTAGTACAATCCACCGGTTTTGTTGGTCATATTAAAGAATCATGAAACCAACAGTGCTGTACATATCATAATATACATATATAGGTTACAGAAAAACGTGTAGGATAGGTTGGTTAAACGATTTTCAACATGTTATTCACACAAAAGTACCATTTTCCTGTTCATTATGATTGTGTGTGTCATTCTTTCTCGGCGTGTCATCTTTTTTTCTCGGCGAATTAATTTTTTCGTCCTCCACGGGCAAAATTTCATTTTCATTTGTTTCTCCTTCCTTTGGTTCTTCAGTTTCTTCAATAATTGTGTTGCCCGTTTGTTTTTTCTTCAGCTTGGTTGCTCTAGCTGTTTTTGAGAATGTTAATTAAATGCATAAGACATACATTTAAGGTAGACATATTTTGCTTAACTAGGAAACTTTTGAAGCCGCCATTCAGAATATTGCTTAGTGTTTTTGTTCGTATAATATAATTTTGAAATTGGCAAACATGGAATCAAAATACAGAATTTATTAACATTAATAAGGAAATACACTTTAATAATTTTTCATGACTTACTTTAGATATACGCCAGCTTATACATTTATCTGTAAATCTATAGAAGCACAACGAGAAACACAATTTTTAGTATTATTCCAGAACGGGATTGATAAGAAAACGTTAAACAAACCCAGTTTCTATCGATTATGATTTGTTTTATTCTACTATGAAACATTTCCGCCTATGTAATCTTTATAAAATAGATAAAACGAAGAATCCCTAATTTCTCTAAAATAAATACGGTGATCTTCAAGAGGGTTTTGGAAAGCTAAAATTTGTGTGTTGAAAAGGATGTCAGAACAATTTACCTAGGAATGATTTGTACAAAAAGAAACTATAAACTGTATCAAAAGTTTTGAGGAAAAATGGCATTAAAAAAAATCGTTTTACTATAAAATATATAGTGACAGAAATAGGGGTTGCTAGGCAAAAGTTTGCAATACCTTGCCTAGCAAAACGTCGGAGTAGTTACAAAATATTACTTTAAAAAGATATATAAGAGATATAGACTTTCAAAATATCACAATTCACAATAAATTAATAAGTTTGAGTACACAGTACTTACGTGAAGGTTTGTTTCCTATGGCAAGTTTTTCCAAGTACTTTTTATCATCATAAAATTCTCCAATGGTTGATTTGACTAGTCTACTTTCCGGTCGTTTGTCCTGCAGTTCATCTTCATCATCTGATAAATCATTTAAATCTGGAACTGATACGGATTTCATCAAACTGATAGATGGTGTCTTGTGGATCCGAATCAATTGACATAGTGGTCTAGTACTGAAAGTTGCACTTGGTAAGTGTTTTACTTGTCTGTCTTGTTTTGGGTGAAACTTAAATGGTTTTGGGGCAGGCTGTATAGAACATAGATAACAAATGTCAATACAAAGGCCGTTTTCCAATATTATATATTAAAACCGTGTAATTGTTGCATATTATGGAATTATCGACTATCATATTCATCCGAAAAAGATAGTCTCAATGGGTCATTTTAAAAATATAACTTTTTTTCAGAAGATTCAATCGGTTCCGATTGCATTTGTCTAAGCTGTCTTTAAGTAAATTCTTCTGTTTCCCCTTTTTGCATTTTTAAATGTTTTTAAGTTCATATTACCCACAAATCCACTGATTCAGTTGAATATCAAGTGTGGTATAGTTCGAAGTGAACCTTTTGGAATTACATCTTTTTGCTTTGACGTCCACCTGGTATATAGCTTTTGAGTTAAACAGTTGGTGTAAAATAACTTTTAATATTTCGATATCTTCTTACTGTAGTTTTCATTTTTAGTTTATTATGGAGGATGTCTACTGTTGTTAAATATGCCTTCAAGCCACTTGCCTTTCTTTCGGTGAAAACATTTTGGTCATTGGTCATCTAAGAATTATTAATGTTGTTTTGTAGTGCATACCTATAATGAGTTTTATACCAAAATTCTATTGAATCTAAGTGATTGCATTGTTTCGGGAGAAAAATCCATTTTGTTTGTTTTAAAATCAAACTTATTTATTCTATAAGTCTTTATAAAGATATATATTAAGCTAAGGCTAATATACCCACCACTTTGTGTATAAGACCAGTGAGATCACCAGCCGGTGTCAGTTTTTGTTTTTTACCTGAAATTCATGAAAATAATCTAGTATGCAACACATGTAGTATGTAAATGCTGTGAAATCTCAATAAATACGTAATGATTGCAAAATACGTTTAATCGTCGTGATAGTTATGAAATCTATACAATAACGTCACTCAGTATAGCGTTATCATACAGAGTATATATGCTCGTCATGCCGGATACTAGATAGCACGATTCCATACGATGAGTCCTTGCATGAACTACATAGTGAACAGATTCAACAAAAAGATGAATGTAAAGTGAAAATCAGTAATCTCCAGACTGTCAACCAAGAATATAGTCAGACTATTAATCTACTATCATCTAAATTAGGTATACCAATTCCACTAGAGAACAACCATCAAGATTCTTCTAACCTTCAAATTCGGCAGCTAGAGATGAAATTTGAGGAACAAATTAATAATTTAAAAATGAATTTTGAACATCAGCTTAATATTATGTCCCTGCAAATAAAACATAATACAGAAGTCAATGAACTCAAATATAAACTGTATCATATGGAAAATGAATGCAATAAATATAAAACTTCTGCAAGTGGTAATCAACAATCGCCTAGTGAACACTATCAGATGAATACACAATTTGTTCCATTTTCGGGATCTCAGTATGGGAACTTAAATCAACAATCACTAAACCTTCCACAAATACCTAATGCGCAATGGACAAGACCCCCAATATGGACTAGACCACCTCCATATCAAGCGCCTACATGACGGGTATTTACCCCAAATGCTCATCATATGCAACAACAAACGACTAATCATAGGCATAATACAAGACCAAATAACAATCAACCAACATATCAAGCGCCTACAGGACGGGTATTTACCTCAAATGCTCATCACATGCAACAACAAACAACTCATTATAGACATGATATAAGACCAAAAAACAACCAACAAACATATCAATCGCATACAGGACGGGTATTTACCCCTAATGCTTATCATGTGCAACAACAAATGACTCATTATAGACATGACACAAGACCAAAAAACAACCAACCAACCCGCCAAATAATAAATGCCGAAAATCATGGGCAAAATCGAGTAAGAACGCAAAGGGCAAATCAAAAACTGACAAACAACACTAAAACTAACAGTGAACGAGTTCATAAACAACAAACTATAAATCATGATAATCAATCACATGGAAATATTTTACATCAAAGGAGTCAGTCAGAACCAGTCTTAAACAATGAAGAAATTAATTCGACCAAGCCTTTTTTAGGAGCAGGCAGAGCCTCAACCGTAAATTGGACAACAGATCACTTGATTTTACAATAGGAACCATCAATATTCAAAATATAAAAGGCAACACCCTATATCTTAATTCAATCCTGGATACGGTACAAATTTTATGCATTCAAGAACATTGGCTACTATCTTTGGAAAAAAATATAGCAAAGGAAATAAATAAAAAATTCTCAACAACTATAAAATCAGTCGATGACGAATATCCGAGTCAACATAATGCCAGATGGGAATTCTCGCATACAAGTACTAACAATAAACAGCAGCCCAAATCCAATATGCCTTATAAATATATATATGCCATCTGCTCAGAGTAGTGGGGATAATGAATACAAAGATACACTAGATCAAATTTCAGAAATCATGGATAAGTACAAAGAACTTTACCAGATCATCCTATGTGGAGATATGAATGCGTCCTTACATCGTGATAATAGAAAACGGGACAAAATATTTGAAGAGTTCAAAAATATAAACAATCTTCATATACCAGATAGCTATCCAATAAAGCCAACCTTTTTCCATCACAATGGTAAATATACCTCGCAGATTGATTATTTTTTGTTTAATGAAAAATGTATACAGCAGATAAAACCAGCGGTGAAGATAGCTTCAAGACACCCTACAAATACCTCAGATCATACGCTTGTTACAGCAAATTTTGTTATGAATGTAAAAAGATGTACTCTCCGCCCAACTAAAATATATACAAGACCAAACTGGAAAAAATGTGACAAAAGTGTATACAAGTCAACTATTGAAAACAGTCTAGGCAAAACATCTGGACAAAATAACATACCAAACAACGTAGAATCACGTATACAGAAATTAGAATCTGTACTTCATAAGGCGGGAATGAAATCTATCCCAAACTATAGAAAACTAAAAACACTAAAATCAGTTGGCAAAGGTATATGGAACAGCAAAATTAGTCAAGCATCTACTGAAGCAAAGTCTGCACATAAAATCTGGAAAGATAAAACCATCAAAAATCAGGATGCAGTTTTAGAAAAGCAAAATCTCAAAAACAAAAAACGCCGTCTGCGACAATTACAGAGACAGGCATATGCATCTAAAAAGGAAAAATTCATAACCGAAATTATACAAGCTTCGGAAAAAGACAGTAAAACATTCCATAAATTAATAAAACAACAAAGATCGAACCATCCATTGAATACTGATATACTTTACATTGGAAATACAAAATATGAAGGAGAAAATATACTTGAAGCCTGGTCTATACATTTCGAAAAGCTTGGAACACCAAATTATGACAAAAATATTTTTGATCTAGAACGTTTTCGCCTAGCAAAATTGCAAAATGACATCATCCTTAAAAATCAATACTCAAAAAAAGAAATTAAACAAACAACTCCTGAGGAAGTCAAAACTGCTATAAAAAATCTGAACACTGGCAAAACATCAGATGAAAATGGTATATGTTCTGAACATTATAAAGAAGCAGTAGATGAAGTATCTGTGGAAATTGCAAGTATAATTAATGATATTTTCACAAATCTGGATGTACCAAAAAGTTTAAAAAATGGTATATTAACACCTGTCCTTAAAAAGAAGAAAAATAAAACCATACCTGGAAACTACAGGGGAATTGTCGTTACAAGAATCTTTTCTAAAATCTTTGAATCCATTAATCCGTTAAAGGAAGACTAGAATATGAACTACTATCATCACAGAATCCACTACAACGAGGTTTTACAGAAGGGGCATCAAGTCTTTTTGCAGCCTTTATTACAACAGAAACAATTCTTTTATATCGTTTATTACAAATATTATTAGAACTCGTCGCTCTAGATGCAGAAAAGGCTTTCGACACGCTAAGCCATGAGATCATGTTAAATAAACTTTTTCATGATGGAATTGAAGGAGACATGTGGATTTTACTTCGTAACATTTATCAAGATTTGTCTCTAAAAGTAAAGTGGAACAATGAAACATCAGAAAGCATTAATATTTTGCAAGGGGTACGTCAAGGTGCAAAATTATCATCTCTATTGTACAAACGGTATAATAACACCATTCTCAATGCAATATCCACCAGCGATTTAGGCGCAAAGCTAGGCAACATACATGTAGGTTCACCAACATGCGCGGACGATATCGCTTTACTGGGAGAACAATCCGATATACAAGCAATGCTAGGCATTATAGAATTTCACACCAAAAGGGACATGGTTAAAATTAACCCAGATAAATCCGAAATTATGTGTGCCTCAAAAGGATCAAAACAACAATCCCAATCATACAACTTCAACGGAAAAGAAATAAAAAGAGTAGAAAAATTGAAACATCTAGGTGTCACTAGAGCTACAAATGGCAAAGTCAACTTGGATGAAAGACTTAAAACAGGCCGACAAACTATATATGCCTTGCTAGGTTCTGGTCTACATGCAAGAACAGGAATGTCACCCATAGTGCTTAAAAAAGTATGGAAAACCTACGCTGTCCCACGTTATTTTTATGGGCTCGAGGTTCAAATATGCACAAAAAAAGGATATATCTGAACTGGAAAAATTACAAAGGAAGATATTTAAACAATTCCAATGTCTACCAGAAAGAACAGTATCCGCAGCAGTATATATACTAATAGGAGCTGAGCCCATTGAGTCGATTTTAGACAAAAACATGCTAGCACTATTTCTCTCAATCTCTCGCCTGGATAGCTCGATAGAACGTAAAATATTAGAATGGGAATTGGAAATTAGTTCAAATTTTGACAACTCTTTTATTTGTCGTATAAATAAAATTTTGCAAAAATATCAATTGCCAAAAGCAGAAGAAATTATGGAACATCCTCCATCAAAATATATGTGGAAAAAACAATTGAAAACATCAATAAATGAATACTGGTCTTCAATTTGGACAATAGAATGTAACACAAAATCAACACTTAAACATTTATCTCTTCAAAAAAATCCGGTCAATAATCCACATAACATTTGGAAATGTGTTAGAAATAACCAATATGACATAAAAAAGGCAGAATTCAAATGTAAGCTAGTAACTGGTACCTACATGCTCCAAAGTACTAGGGCAAAATTTAGTAAAAATGCTATTCAACCAAATTGCAAGCTATGCAATGAATCTGAAGAAACCTTGGAACATTTCCTACTACATTGCTTAAGTCTATCTGATGTTAGGCAGCGATATATGGATAAATTATTCAAAATGCTACGAGAAATAGAAAGGGGTGGTACAACAAATGTTATTAATAATGAACTATTACTCAAAATTATATTAGACTGCTCAGCACTAGACATAATGAGTAATCAACCAATAGACAAGTTGCTAGATATAGAAAGGAAGACACAAGATTTATGCTACCATTTACACATGAAGCGTACACAACTTTTATGTGATATCAAGTGACATGAAAATATAACAGTAATATTAAATATAGTCTGAACAGTCTGCATGGGATGCCAAGCTAACTGGTTCAGTCTATAAATATCAGCATAAAAGATAATGCTATATAATTTTAACATTTGCCTTGGCAGGGCACCTATTGACTAGAAATCGTTAGGTTGTAAAATTTTTATTTATTCATATTGGTGAATCAAAGTGCCGTAATTTGTAACGTGTGAATAATATTATTTTTTTTTGTATTAATATCTTTTAAAATATCATCAAAGACATTATGAACTTTTATTTTATTCACTTTAACTAACTAATTTTATTTTAAAATTATATTTTTCATATCGTAAATATAAAAATATCCGCTTTTTCGGTTAAGTATTTAAAATTTTAATACTCATTCGATAAGTGGAGTGCTCCGATAAAACGGAGGAATATACCAGAACAGAACAGAATATGGTTACAAAGTTACCAAGTTCAATGTTAGTACTTCGCGTATTTCCCGACACAGACCTCTATTTTAACATTTTTCATGAACTTGTTCTAACAATACAAAATTAAGCATCATTAAAAAAATGTTTATCTCAAAACTGTCATTCAGATATCCTTAGTTAATACATTTAGGTATGATTTTCCAGATGTTACATCCACATCACATAAAAATTTGAATTTAAATTCTTACTTTCACAAAACTAGAAGAAAAAAAAAACCCAGAAAACAAAATATTCGTAATACATTTAAGAAACAATCTATATACGGATGAATTTATTAAAGAGTAATGCATATATGACATTCCATCAATGTGCCGTTTTCACATTAAACAATTAATCATAAATAACAATATACCTTTGCCTCTCTTGAATTTGGCGATTTCGTGCTCTGTTTTCTTCATTCCTTCTATAAAACCTTTATTTTTAGGATAAACTTTGTGACCTCTACTATAATAAATGTATGCTACATCATAGTCTTGAGTCTGGTACAGTATGTCTGCCTTTTGAAGCAATGCCTGTAATATATAAGTAACACATATGTAAGCACATAAAATATTTAGACTGGAATGGCATGTTTCCTATAGAACAGTCTGACACATTTAATATATACAATAGAATTCAGGAAAGACTTATACAATTTCCTGTATATATATATGGAATATTTGCTGTCAATCGTAGTTTTCGTAAAAAAAAAACAAAATCTAGAAACGTTATGAGCTATATGACCAAAAAGGGACCAAAAAAAAAAGAATAGTCAAATTCACCTAATTTGATTGATGAAATTATGCATTTCATGGATGAAAATTCAGTAAACGTTCAATAATATGTCTACAAGTGTCTCATAATGCCTTTATTCGATTCGATCTAACAGTCATTCATGAAATATTTTGACTGTAAATATCATGAATTTAAATAAAATCTGTATTTGACACTACAGTGGTTAGCCGATGTTGAAAATTTCATGAATCCATTCAGAACATACAAATCAAGGTAAAAATAAAGAAAAACGCGAGAGAATTGCATAAACTTTGAAAAGAGCAAAACTGTATGAGTCGACAGGGTAAACGAATCTACACTCAGTCAAAATGTCACAAAATTTACAGATCAGACGAATAATCCAGAAACTAAAAATCTGATACCTCGAAAAGGCCGCTAATGAGTTAAAACATCCACGTATCGCCTTTTTCAACCAATTCGTAGTATTGACCGTAAAAATTATGCTATGTCAATGTCATTTGTTCTCCCTCATAACCCTGTTTGGGGCAGTTTTGATGTCCGGAGCACACCCATGCTAATGAATACAGTATAAGTTGAGCACTCACTAAAATATAGATAATCAGGTGACAGAATATCATCAGTATATCAGAGAGTGAAATCAAAGATTTCCTTGAATCAGGCTATATAATTTACATAAGCCAATCTCTCTCTTTATATGTATATATTGTGGAGAAAATTATTTTAGTAGTTGATACTATTCAGTTTTATGAAAAGATATATGTTTAAGTTTTCCATCGTAGATGAAAAAGGAGACCCGCCCCCTCCCCCCCATCCTATCCCCTAAAAAAAAAAGTTATTTTTTTGAAAGAAAAAACTTTAAAATGTTCTTTTCTATTCGCTATTCCTTAAACATCCTCTTACCCTTTCGATTCCTATTTCCCAATTACTATGAATAATGATTGAAGTACATGTCCTCAATGTATATCCTATTGTGCATTGCAATTTCTACGTTGGTAGAATGACAGTTATGTTTATTCTAAATCACTTTATGTAATATGAGTTCAACTGACTTATATGAGGTAATTGATTTTTCAGCACAAAAAAGTTATCGATTACAGTACAGAAAATTATTTCAGAAATCAAACGTGAAATAAAGGCATGACAAATAAATCCAATGTTCAATTTCACTGATAATGAAAGTTTAAATTACTTATTTTGTTTAATCATCTACATCATCTAAAACGAATATAGGAGCTGTATTGAGTTTAAAACGAATTCATAAACATTGTAATTAAAGGGTATTCCATTGATAAATAATTCAAAATACAAAATACAAAATTAATAAGGATATCAGGTTTCTTGACAAAATTGGGAACGCAATAAGCCAAATATGTGATTTAAACACCAGTATTTACAACGAAATATTCATGTTTATATATAATCTGACAGATAGATAGATTATATGAAATCATTTATTTGTTAGAGAATTTCATTATGGACCAAATAAGTTGGTTGATCCGTTAATATCACTTCGAAAATACCAAATTTCACTCTTTTGCCTTTTTCTTGATTTGTTTAACACATTCCCTTTTCTTTCCCATATCTATGGTATTCAGTATGTCAGCATCAAGTGACACAATAGACAACTGTAAGTACTCAAAACAAGCAGGTTTAAAAAAAACCTTCAGAAACAACAAATAACCAAGAAAAAAAAAAGAATTGCGTATTTATCTACTCCGGGATGTGCCTGATCCTAAAACCAGGATGTGAAAGGAGTAGGGTTGTATGTGAGGCTAGCAACCTCATTACGTTAAAACGTACGACTTCGGAAACTTAACCAAAAGAACCTTCACGAGAACGGACTCAGTAAGTTAGTAAGTATTACAGTTTAATAAACCATAATGATACGTATATCGACAAAATCCTTGTGAATCCTTTTAAAGAGAGAGGGATGATACCAAGGGAGTATCTAAAAATCATAAGTCCGATAAATACCATGGCTAAAATATAAACAAAGAACGTACAAATAACAATAACAAAACATCACATAGAGAACAGGGTGTGACTCGTGTGCCCCGTTCCTGCTCCATATGTGATACTCGTCGTGTAGCTCCAGCAAGTAAAAATGCAGTTTAAGTCTCTTTTTATATAACTTATTGAATGATGTTTATTGAATTCTACCGGTCAACTCGTTACTTACACTAGTAAAACTTTTGAATAACAAATTGTAAATAAAAAGGTCGATGTGGATTATGATAAAACAAAAATATCATTAGATAATAAAATTTAAAAATAAAACTTTAAAAAGGCAGCACGTCCGAAGCGCTTTTCTGATTTACCTTAACCAGGAACACTCAAAGCCAAATATTTGAGAGTCAATAATGTTTATATATATTTAGAGAGCTATATGACCAAGAACAGCCTTTAAGGAAAAGTCCAACTTTGCATGAGGGAGTAAGTTAGAAATATCTCAAACATACGACACTTTATTATTGTTTTCCATTTTGAGTTTTCGACTGTTATCAACGATATTTGTTGTTTTTTTTATTAAAATCCCGTCGGAAGAACACTACTTTTGTCAGTAATTAATAATATTGACATTATTATTTCTTGGTATGTATGGATATGCGCGTTATCGGTTTTTACAGTGTAATATGAACATTATCATTTCTTTGCAGTGCATTTCCATGCACATTATCGACAGAATCTAAATAATTTTATGGCATTATCATATTTGACAATAATGCTATGAACGTTTACCTACCATCACGTATGTACAGTACTATACCGTGGACATTATCATTTAACGATATTAAAGTTCAATGAGCATAATTATTTCTTGACAATAAAATCAAATTTGGCAATTTAACAATTTTATGACTAATATTATTTTTTTACAATACAAAGTTTATATATTTAAAGGTAATCATTTCTATTTCAATTATAACTGGTTATGTGTAATTCGAAAATGCATTAATGTCAATAGAAATAATTAATTGCTCCATTTCATTTTCATTTTTACATCTTAACGGTACTCGAAAAAATATGCGTAATTCGCAAACGGGATTTATATCGAAGTTAATTTAACACCTTTTTAAATTGAAAAGTTCATTTTTCAATTTAAACCCAAAGAAACATGATATTAAGTATGCTTGAAAAATCTCCTGCGTAGTTTAAGTAAGTCATAGATCTGTGCTCTGTCAAACTTAATGGCATAACGGTGTCATAGTGAAATGTCACACAATGTATGTATTTACAAAAAGTGTAGAACAGGTTTCCCATAACCTATGTTAAAGTTAAGCTTAACACAATACAAAAACTTCTACCTATAAAATAATAAGAAGATGTGGTATGATTGCTAATGAGACAACTCTCCACCGGATACCAAATGACATAGATGTCATTAACAACTATAGGTCACCGTATGGTCTTCAACAATGAGCAAAACTCATACCGCACAGTAAGCTATAAAAGGACCCGGAATGACAAATGTAAAACAATTCAAACGAGAAAAACTAACGGTCTGGTTTGTGTACAAAACAATGAGCGAAAAACAAATATGATATACAGAAACAAACGACAACCATCGATCTACACTACTTTTAAGCTGCAATATAATTTATTTAACAGTTCGACAAAACGTATTAAAAAAAACATTCCATATGTTCCATATTTTAATGACAATTGTTGAATGTTCCCCGTTTTAGTTCGTAATGTTCTATCTATCTTGAGTATCATGTGTAGTGTCTTGTTGGCTGCGGTTTGTCTGTTCATCTCTTTTCTGTTGGTCGTGGTCTGTGTGGTTATACTAATTATTTTTATTCCCTAATGGTCTCTTCTCTCTCCCATCGTTATATCAAGGTATCATATATTACTAGATTACCATCGAGTAAACGAGACAAAATAAAAAAAAAATCGTCCTGGAAACCACAATTACCAAAACCTGCCTTTCTTGAACTTTTGGAAAGAAGACTTGTTAAGATGTAAATGGTGTCAGTTTATTAAAAATATACCGTCAAAGCATCCGCTACAGTATTTGATTCATTTTATATATGTTTCAACAATAGCTCAGCAAGATTACCTACGGAAATGGAAAGTAGTGCGTGGACTTATTTTACTACTTTGGATCGACCGTTAGACTTGGCATACCAGATCACTACTTTAACTGATAAACTTATATAGTTTCTGATATTTTTGTGTTAGAAGTAGATTGATTGCGTTGTTAAATGGGTAACATGGGACAAGGAAGCCTATTGCCCACCCACTTTTAAAGATGGGATTGGATGATCCAAAATGTGTGATCAAAGATACCAGGCTTATAATTTGTACACCAGACGTGTTTGTACGCGTTTTGTCCACACAAGACTCATCAGTGACATGTTGAAAGACACCTTTTCACTTGAAAATAAAAAAAATCCAAGTTTGTCAAATTTGCACACTGTTATCAGTACAAAATCGTTACATAACTTCTAAAATGAATTTGGTGTTTTTAATTTACTGAAACGTTTCATATAGAGATAACATTGAAAAGACTACAAAATTCATTTTTAAAGAAATGAATAAATAATATTGAATCAATGTTTGACATATAATTTAATCATTTCCTCTGTAGATCGACATACAGTGGTACATTTTGTCATCTATATACACATAATAGATGGCTATGTCACCGCAAACCGTTAAGTATATTAAAAATAAAAATTTTACAATTGAAAAATCGACTCTCACCATAGTGATTTGCATTTATCATACGAATTTGTAACAGCTTTATGAAATCGGATTTTGAAATGCCGGAAAC